GAGTTTGGTACTCCTGTAAGCCACGACGTCTTGGCCAGCATCAACTATTGGTATTTCCGGGCCGCTGTTTGGCTCGATATCAGCGGCGGTGAGTAAGAGAAGCAAAGACCTTGTGTATTCGGCAACTAAGGACATGATCATTTAAGAGGGTAATTTTAATGGTCGATGTAACACTGATTATGTCGGAGTTGCTTAGCTCGCAAAATGTTTCTGCTCGCAATTTCTTGCCGTTCGCAAAATCCTTCCCTTCACTTCATAGCGAGTGCAGTGGCACACATTTTGAATCCAACCCACCCTTCACTCCGTCTCAACGCCATCCTCCGTAACCATGGCAAATATCTTATCCGACCCGTCCAAACTAACAGCCCATCTCACGCCCTCGAACCCCTTTCGCGTGGTAATTTCGACCTGGACATCCGCGTCAGGCTCCATGATCACCGCCGCAACGTTTGTGTTCTCCGCGGTGGGAAGCTTCCACTCCGCACCGTCAGCAGGCCTCATGTCCAGGCGCGCTACAAAAGCGGCCACGACGGCGAGAACCTCGTTCGTCGCGAAATGCCGCCCCGGACAGAGCGTCTTGCCGCCACCAAATGCGCGGAAACACACATCACTGGGGCGGTTCTTCTTGTTCTCGGCCAGGAACCTGCGCGGGTTAAACTCTGCGTAGTCAGCGCCCCAGAGACTGGCGTCCTGATGGATGACGCGCGACGGCATCTGCAGCATGGCGCCTTTCTTGAGGAGGTACTTGTCCAGGTACGTGTCCTGCATCACTTCCCTCACGGAGGTTCCCATGGATCGGTGGCGAAGAACTTCCTGGTAGGCAGACAATAACAAGGGGCAGTTTTGCTTCAGGGTGGTGATGTCGATCGTCTTGAGCTTCCCATCGGGCGTTGTTCTGGTGCAGGCATCAATTTCGACCCGGAGCTCTTCGAGGAGACCCGGGTGGGAATGTACCAGAAACAGGGTCCAGAAGGCGGCCGGCGCCGTGTTGACCATGATGGCGATGGACTCGGCAACCTCGAATTTGGAGATGTCGGCGTGCTGGAGATTGTTGTCGACCATGGCCTTGTATCGGTTCTTGGCGAGCACAGACGCCTTGTGCACGCCGCCGGCCTCGAAGTAGGCAAGGAAACCGTCAGACACTGTTTTTCGTGCGGCGATGGGCCTGCGTGCAAAGAGCCAGGGCAGGATCCCGATGACGACGGCCATGAAGCCCTTCTCAAACTCCCAGAACGCATCGGCGACCGCCTGATCCTCGTAGGGGTTCAAGGGCCCGTAGACCGATCGGGTCGTCGCCGTCGTGATGGACGCCCTCAGCCAAGAGTAGAGGCTGATCCTGCGGGGCTTTTGGTCTTTGGGCTGCAGCTTATCGAGCAGGGTGGCAATCTCCTGGATCATGTCGCGGTTCATGTCGTCGAGGTCCGGGCCGGGCTTGAGGGCAGCGTGCATGCCGGCGTAGGTGGCCATCGAGACGCCATGGTCGCCGTCGTCTCCATTGGCGTTGATGGCCACAATCTCGTTGGCCTCTTTGCTGCTCCCGCAAACGTTCTTGGTGAACTTGACGGCAATGGGTGGGAAGGCGAGGATCTTGTGCTGCTTCTGCACGGCCTGCACGAGCTCGGGCGTGTTCACGATGTACATCTTCTGGCCCGGGATGGGCAAGGTCGAGATGGGCGATCTGGACTGGTGGTACAGCGCAGAGTAGTAGTTGAACTTGCTCCGCGACAGCCCGATGAGGTGGCCGATGATGGGGATGGCTGACGGTGCCAAGGGCGGCTCGCGGGGGTCGTGGCTCGATAGCTTGCGGCTGGCTAGGTAGCCCAAGGTGGCGATGCCGATGAGGATGGCCAGCGGGAGGCCGAGATCGCCGATGGTCGACGACATGATGTGGGAGGCCGACTCGGAGAGCTGTCCGTGAGCTACGGATCGTTCGACGTGAGGAAACGTGGTGGACATGGCGGCGCCCATCGCGGGGGAGCGGTGGGCTTTTGTTGGCCGTTGACGATGGTTCCTAGCGGGCAGCTTCAGCAGGGGTGTTCCGTCGTGTTGGTTCGGGTAGGGCAGAGGAGCTTGGCCGAAGCTGGTTAGCCACTGACCACGCCACTTACAAAGTGTCTCTGCTTTGCAGGATCATTTCGAGACTTGTTGCCTTTCGCGGTCTGGTCATCACGGTCAAGAGTGGCGGTTCAGTTTAGGTGTTAAAATTTGGCTCGACGTCGTCATGCTTGCTCTGTAAGGTTGTGCGACCTAAGTTCCTAAACCGCACAGCCCCCGTGGGTGTTCAAACATCACCACAGCCCCTGTAGACCGTGCTGTAATAATCGCGCAGTCCTGTAGCGCCTGGGAAAGCTGCTGCCTTACTTGCTCCAGGGGTCGGTCCCCCCCCAACTCCACCGCCAAGCTCATTATTTCCGTCTTGATGCAACATCGTGTCTCCCGTCTCGCGGCAGACAAAAAGTGTCCATGGCAAAACATGAGAATGCTGCTTCAAGGTACTTGACCTCTGGGCATCGCCCGCGATACCTCAAACTCGACCGTCTTTTCGATCCGATTTTGGTCTTGGAGCAGACACCTCTCCGTGAAGATGAGCTTGGCACTGACATCGAACCGAGTGATGTAGAGACGAGGGCTAAGGTGCCAGAGCAAGCCATTGCTGCTGTTCTGCGACCACGAACTGCACTCCTCCAGCGCGACGGCCTTCGACGTGCCATCGCTGCTGGGGGGCTCTTCTCGGGTGAGTGACACGCCGCCCTTCAGCGGCGCAGAATTGACTTGCGTGCTGACGACAGCCAGCACCAGAGTGGCCCCTTGATCGCCCTAAAGACGACGGCCACGGAAGGCATACAGCATATCATGGCGCCAGCTGTCTCTTCTGCTTTGCTGTGTGCAAAATCGTCGTTAGCAGCGCATCGGCGGACGGGAAGCTCAAAGGTACCTACGCCGCGATCCATATCGGGATGACGTTCCGGAAGCGGTCCTCGCCCGTCGCAGTCTGTCTGACTCTGTATACCAGGCCCACGATGCTCGAAGCACACACGCTGCCAGCCCACCTTATCAGAACACCATTCGCAAGCAAGAAGAAGAAGTTACTCACCAAAGCCACACCAAGAACATGGATGAAACCGCCAGCTTGCGTCGCAGGGGAAGCCGCAGTGTCCAAACGGCCGGCAGTGGGATGATGACAAGGAATACATCCACGATAGCATTAGTGGCACCTTGGGTGACCTGAAGGGCGCATTTACCTTGGCGCCCCGTCCCGAGACGAAGTCCTGCAGAATCCCCAGCTGAGTCTTGCCAGACTCGGACGGCGCGAAATGCGTCGCCGCAAACGTAATGCTCATGGCCAGATGGAGCGCCGTAAGGACAAAATCTCCAGCAACGCAGGTGATGCGCATCGAACGCAGCACGGTGAAGATGCGGAAATACAGAATCAGAACTGAGATCTTGACAAAGCCTAGCACAATTGGCATGAGGACCTCGATCAGGGCACCAAGCAAGTTCTGTGACTCGTTGACGGCGTCGCCGATCCGGACGTTCCAGGAGTGGCGGCCAAACGAGCCTTTGGATATGGAAGCTATTGAGAGACACATGCAGACAATACAGAACATCTGCCATGGATGGCGAGTAGCGCGTCGATCAAGCGTCAGTTGTACAGGCGGCAAAGACTAACCAGACCCAGAACATAGCAAACCTCCTGAACAACTGCCGTCTTCTGCCCCAAGCGCAGGATCGCGACGAGTCTGACGAGCGAAAAGACGACCATCAGCGCGATGAAGATGCTGGCAGAGGCATACATCTGGTAGGCGGTCGAGTCGGGATTGACAAAGTTGGATACCATTCCTGGTGGCGGCGCTTCGACAGGAAGGTCCCGGATCTGGACAATCGTCTCAGGCGTCAAGACCAGATCGGCGGCAATATTGGCTGAATAGCTGACCAGGATAATGTCTATGGATGACCATGAAACGAAGAGGACAACAAAATGGCGCCGGTATGAAGGGGGTGAAGGGTGTTGTCCTAGGCTGGAGTTGAAGCAGGGACGCCATGTCTTGGCATTATAATCATGAAGAAGGCTGCGACTTTTGTTGTTGTACGCTTCTGGCGCAGCAGAAGTATACCCCAGTTCCGAGTACTCGATGCTGTTTCAAACCGGTTGAACATGTGACAGCAAACATTCACCGCCCCAATCCCGTCACGATGCCGCGGTATACATGCGCACCAAGTAACCATCTGCCGCCCAGTTCGGAAGATTGGGCGCAGTAAACAACCCGGTTTGTCAAAGGGGCACAAAGCTGCGCCGGCACCGTGAATAAGGATGTAGACATGTTCAGCTCTCGGAGTTGGGGCAGAAGAAATCACCAAAAGTCTACAAGACCCAGTCTTCGAGGATCGGAGTAAATCTATCATGTCCTTGATGAACAGCAAGAGAGTGTACAAGACTGCGTTTGTGGGGATCGGAGTTATATGTGACCCGCGAGCTAGAACTGAGCCACTTGAACAACACTCTTGTGATTGGTCGCTGAGAGTGGGCCAATTCGATGTCCTCAAAGCTAGTCTAGCTTGGGCCCGCAAATCAAGATAAAGGTCTCCTGAGAAGTCTGACAATGAATTCTCATAGAAGTTGAATGCGTGAGTCGACAAAATTCGAATTTATCTCTCTGACTGTTGGGCATATTTTTTGGTATAAATTTCACCCGATATGTTGAAGTTCTACTGCAGTAGGGGTTTTTTTTCTTAGTCATCTACCAAACCACTTTTCCCTCCAACGACTCTCCGCAGATGAATGGCACTTGTTGATACAGTTTGCGTGTTAAGCAATCTAAAAAAGCTATAAAAAAAACCCTCCTTCTTGAGCTCAGTGTTCCCCGGGAGGTCTTTTTCCTAAACATTTGTTGGAGATCAATCTGCCAAGGCGCCAACTTGAAACTAATACGCATCAGCCCTTATGTAGTAGAATACGAAGGCAAAAATTAGGACAAACGGCAAAAAGACAGGACGGGAATGGGCTCAATCGGGATTCGAACCCGAGACCTCGCACAAATCTTGTTGCTTGTTGGTTGCAAGCAATGGGAATCTTCCGAGGAAAGAAGAATCACCCGAAGCACGAATCATACCACTAGACCATTGAGCCGTATTCCTCTTTTTTGGATGAAAGACCCGCTGCGAATCTGTGCCTTTGACTGGACGTTCTTGGGAGGTGGTTCCACTGTATCATGGAGTTGGCATGAGATGAGGGCTCCATCGTTAGATGGATGCAGGTGTTAGTGGAACCTCTTGCTGCCAAGACACTGAGTGATCCACGGCAGCGGCTGGAGTGCAGGATATTTTTTAGAAGTGGATTCAGTCCGGTGGATCTTGACAATCCGGTCTAGATCTGCAATTGGCGACTGAGAGCAGCAACAATGGGAGCCTCAAGGCAAGGAGGAAGCTCTCCGACACTCTTTCAGGAGGCTGACTGCTGACTCGGTATATATCTGCAAGGCCATTCCGTCAGTTTCTGTTCGTTTTTCCGTCTGACCATCCCCGATCTCATATGTTGACCGCCCGTTTACCTTCAGGAAGAATTCAGATTTGAGGCTCTGTATTTACCTTCCGTCTTACATTGGAATTAGGGGCTCGTGCATGCGACTCTATGAGAAAGCTAAACTGTGTTACTCATCACGGCCAAGGCTGACAAGCATTCAAGCGAAGCAGATCCACTTCCGAAATTGGGGAAGAAAGCGAAGAACTATGTCGTGTAACTTGATACTGTTTGTAATCCGATAAGGTTCATTACAATCTCTCTATCTTATAAACGGAGGTAGTTTGCTGGCATGGTGAGCGTGAATTGTCTCTTGCACTCCTTTTGTCTTCAGGCAGAGCTCGCGTTGCTGAATCATTGTTAGCTTTTGTTAAAAGAAGTGAGTAGGAACCATATCAAAACTCGAAAGTTCGAATGGAACAATACTTCCGTCGCAGTTATCACCATGGCGATCGGAAGAAAAGTGCCGGAGTTGGTGTGCGCCTTTCGATCGCATCCAGTTGCTGAGTGGCTTCAATACACGAAAAAGTACAAACAAAGAAATGAAAGATTAACTTACTCACTCTTAGCTCAAGTTCAAGGCTGCAAGGGTCGACTAGGCAACATGTAAGGACGATGAAGGAACGATCTCACTGCCTACGTACCTAGAATATTCGAACATGGATCACGCGTACACTTAGGTCGTCACCCACAACAGACACCAAAAAGAACCGATTCGGCGGGGTAAAATGCTTACTGAAAACTATTAGTGGGTGTATATTGGGCTAAATGCATGTTAACTAATGAGTCATCCAAAGAAGGTCCTGCGCTGATGGTTACACCTGCGCCGCCTCTCGTTCAATATCCTCCGTGTTAGGCTTTATTGAGGACATGAACCCCTCCCAAGAAAAGTCCGGGATCTAGACCAACTTGAGGAAACCCTTACGCTTTCAGCTTAATGCTAGATTGCCCTCACTGGCATGCAAATTGTCCAGTAACACTATCGCCCTCGTAATGACTTGGCAACTAGTACCAGTTTGACTCGATGAGAACAGTTGTTTACATTATAGGTCTTTCTTGAGGTTTTTGTTCTCTTACTCGACATGTTTGATCACCCAGGGGGCTCGCCGCAGTGCAGATACAGAGAGACGCGTCGACGCTCTGACGGCATGGACTTCCCGGACTCGCATAGAATGTGACTTGCACTAATTTCTCCTGGGCGGCTACGCAGTCCAGCTGATAGTGGAATGCAGAGGGTCCCAAAGCAGAGTTCAAGGACACTGAGTTTGCTGCTTGAAAGAAGTATAAAGCTGTCCATCTTCTCCCAGCAACAGGAATCCTGATCTCCATCACGATCATCATCATCAGCTTCAAGTTCGATCTCAAGCCTTCGCTCAACATTAACCTCATCACCTTACCTATATTACTCGTCAGTCAACCAATCCTTCATCATGAAGTGCAATGTCGTCTTTTCTGGGCTCTTTGCCGCCGCCGTCTCGGGCTCCAACCTCCTGGCCGAGGACCCATTTGGCAATTCTACCCACACTAGTACTGTCGGAAAGAGACAGGTGCAAGAAATCGGCCTGAACTTTTGCAAGGACTCTAGTTCGCAAGGCGGTACGTCTTGCACCACTTGGTGGTCGTCCAACAATCAGTGCAGTGCGTTTTCCTCCCAGGTCTCCCCGGCATTGGTAAAAACAAGTAAACATAGTACTAACACACCGAACAGAGACACTGACCGACGACCGAGACAACACCATGTCAGCTGTCTTCCCTCCTTTGGGGGTTTATTGCCGCATCTACTTGTATGCCATTTTAATCCATTCTATTTCCCTCAACTTCAGTTCCTCTTCTTCGTTTTACTTTCTATGGCTTGAACATATGCTAATGATACTACCAAACCCAGCAACGCTCACTGCCCTAGCTCGGAAGACAGCGGCTCCGGCTGCGAGCACTTCGACGTCACGAGCCCTGGAATCTCCAACCTGAACCAGGCCCAGTACAACGTGTGCGGGTGGAACTACCCTAACGACAAGGCCTCGAGCTACAAGTGCCATTGGATTTAGGTAAACCAGTCATCGTTTGGAGAGGTTAAAGTAAAAGGGGAGGGATGAGAGATAGTGGAACTGGGTGGAATAGGGATACAAAACACGGCGGCTGCAGTGATGATGTGAACTGGCCAGCATTCAACATACTGGGCTTGGCTCAGAGAAAACGATATACTTGTCTTTCATCTGATATTTTGGAGGTTCGGGTCAAGGCTAAAATTCAGTAATCTCACGGAGTTCCTGTGCAAATATTGAGCTTTGCATGCTGTCAAATTTGCAGGTTTTGTTGCCCTTTTTTACTTCTCTTTTGCCGGAGATTTGTCGCTCTGTCTTACGGCTTTAGTCGCCATTGAAACTGGTATACTGGTAGATATTCTCTGCTTCACTTGGAAGATGAGATTTTTAGTGAAAATGGCATTTGGCTAAGAGAACTACCCGTAATTGTAGATTCAGGATGACTGAGTGGTGTCGGGTTCTGCAAGGTCATTGTCGCTCATGGCGATTCCTTGACGACTTTTATTTTCGCTTTTCTTCTTTTGATTCAACTCCAAGGCGTTGCTCCTCGTGAAACAGGCACTAAACTAAAGTAAACCGTACATTTCAAAATCAAGATCTCGTGGTGTGTGCTCCTCCTGTCTTTCTGAAGTGGCCATCACCAAGCCTGCATTTTTAACTCCGGGTCGGCAACAAATTAAAACGTCTCTTCACTTAACAAATGCCCGTAGGAATAAAAGCGGGGGCATTAGCGTTGCGTAAAAGTGCTTCTGACAAATGGTTGACGCTTTCGCTCTTCGTCCAAATGGAAACTCTAAAGAAACGTCAGCAAGAGCTTGAAGTGATGATGGGTTCAATGACGAACATTAGTTGAGGAGTTTGACTTACTCACTGCAGATTCACGCCGTATCCGCTCCCGAGTGCTCTCTGCCCCTGTAGACCTCCCCAAGATCACCGCCGAGTTCTTCAGTCTTATGTTCGCCTATGTCGCTGTTGATGTCGATGAGCTCCGGGATTCTGGCCTTGCGCGGATGACTGTCGTCTATCCACTCGGTTACCCATTGGTGGAGGGAGAAGTTCTTTCGCGTTGGCATCCGTACTTGTGCCACTACAGTAGAGAAATTCCAGTAAGGAGGAAATAGACCCATGATAAACGAAACAGGATTGCGATCTTTTCCAATTTCCAGCACATCGCATGCTACACCTCTATAGAATGCTGATCCTGGGCCTGTATCACGCTTATGCGAGATCGAGATGTAAAAGTTTGGGTCTGCACCAAATGTCAAAAACGTCATGAGATCATGCGGAGCGAGCTCCAGCCAAAGTCTATAGGCGAACCCGTTTAGACTTCGGTCGTAGTCTAGAATTCTCAGTAAATTCCAATAAAAGATATGATGTAGAACGACTTGGTGCCAAATGCTGGTTCGGCCTGTGATACCTTCGACTCCCAACAGACAGTCATTCACCGCCCACATATTCGTCATCTTACGTGGTGTGAGTACTTGCCGCTCCAGTAAAGGCAATACCATTGAACCCCCGAGTCCCTTGGGATGTCCCCAAGGGTGCATGAAAGAGGCATAGACAAGGCAGGCTATCTTTTCTGGGGAATCAGGAAACAGTTGACTTTCGGTTTTCCACTTGAGATATTCGAGGTATCCGAATTTCGCGGCGACATAAACCGGAGATAGATATATATCAGCCGTAGATGGTGGATCTCCACTGCCGAGGCAATCCCCAATTCCAATGAAACGTTGCAACATGAAATCAAAGAATAGCGCTTTTCTAAATCCCCCCCCAGCGGTGATGTGGAAGAATGAATCTCTTGGTGGAAACCGTCTCCACAGACTCCCAGAACTCGAAGGGAGCAAAATCCAGTTTCGATCTGCTTCGTAGTTTAAGTAATGGTCGGAAGGATTGTGTGAGTTGCAAACGAAGTGCAGTGGGCTCATCGTGGCATATTGCACTAGGGTGAGCTGGCATAGGACGGTTGCTAGTGGGTTATTGATATTGCCGGCAGGGTAGTTTGTATGGATATCGGTTGTTTTTGTATGGAAATCGACCCGTGATTTGATGTCGCCTCGATCTAGAACCTCTGGGGCGGAACTGTGTTCAAACTCAAATTGGGAAAACTCGAAATTTGGTTCCTCATTTACACCGGAGTCATCATAAAGGTGTACGACATAACCTCGATATTCACGGCTTGATTGGTGGACATCTTCAATAAGGCCGCCACAGTACCCCCGTAGTTTCTTATCTCCTTGCTTCATTCGAGCATCTCTCGAGGCTGAGTTCATGGAAGGTCGTTGAAAAGATAATAACATAGCGAAAGCGAGATCCCGCGCATAGTAATCTAAGAATAAATACATAGAAATCGAGATAGACACCTAAACTTCTATTGAAAGCACTAGTAGACTCTTGCCGGATTTTGTCCAGAATGTGCTTAAAGAGGTCCTCCAGCTCAGCCAAGAATGAGTTAACGATTTCGACAAGATCTACGGTGTCGACTCCGTCTTCGATTTGGTCTCGTTTCGACTTTACCACAAGGGAGACTTAAAGAAAGATACCCTGAGCTTTGTCAACTATAGTGTC